ACTTAATTAATTACGTAAACTAAAATTTACTTATTAGTAAGTAAAATAAACTACTTATTAGTGTACGTAACGTTACGTTTCCGTACTAATATTGTTCTATGTGTGTGTGTGTATGTCTATATATATATATATATATATATATATATATATATGTATATAAATAAATAAATAGCTTACAAACTACTGATTACAATAATTGTTAATAGTTGATTAAATCAGCACTATAACACAATAACGAATTAAATATCACATTACCGTTATCAGTCCAGGTGTCAACTTATTGTCATAACGGATAATAGCACCTAAATGTGTTGGTGATATTCCATCTATCAGACTAAATCCAAATGCCGATGTCAATCTAATGAGCCGTCATGGAAGATCATAAAAAATCAAATAAGGGTATAAAGCTCAGTGCTTACACCCACAATGTCTCAGCTTCTACTGCCTTTCACTGTCTATAGCCAGTTGTGGGAAGGCAGTTACCCTTAAATTTCTTAAAGTACAAATGAAGCCACCCAAATTAAACTCCCAACCTCAACCATTACAAAAGATATTAAATACAAATAAATAGAACTATACACCCTACCTTAAAAGTTCTTATTCCCAACCTCTTCCCTTTATTTAAGATTGGATGAATACATAAGTAGTATAGTTGGGAGCTGGAAGGGACATCTTTGATGTGATAATAAGCTCCTTTTTTTCCCTTTAAAGTTTTATGAATGAAGTGAGCCATAACCCCCATCCCCTCTCCCCAATGTTTTTTTCTAAACTTAAGACTTTTCATGATCCTGAATGTATATAACGTAAACTACCTCAAGTAGGAATATTTCATTTTTCCAACACTTGTCAGATTTGTGTGAATTACCTGAAATAGCAGCATATTTCTTTAGTGCTTGAAGGTAAATTAAATTGTAGTATTATTTCTCTGATACTTATAGAATGTATGTAAAATACTTTAAACAGCAATGTACTTTACTTCTCTAGTATTTTTCAGGTGTGTAAAAAACTTACCTCCAGTAGTAGTACCTTATTTTTCTAATATTTATCAGGAATATCTCACCATTGCTAAGTAATTGCCTTCCCACTTTCGCTTTAAGCCCCATTCTTTACGACAACCAGATAATGCCTCTGAAGCAGCCACTTTCAATTGAAGTTGTGGCCATTCTTCTTTAGGTACACGTTTCAAGATCATGTGAGCTCGCCACCTATGAACAACACAGAATATACTTGACTAAGATCACGTAAAAAAATTTCCACTTTTAAAGATCATATGAATAATCCATAACACAACTTAATGCTTGGCTAAGATCATGTAAATATATACACACTTCTTTATGTATTCTTTAAGATCACATAAGCTAACCTCCTGTGAACAATCCACAACATAACATACTGCTTGAGTAAGATCACGTAAAAATATACCCTTGAGCATACTTTTCAAGGTCACATGTGCTTGCTTCCTGTGAACAATCCATAACACAGATTATACTATTCAACTGAAATCATGTAAACAAAAACACACAAACACTAAATATATATTCTATGTAAACAACTAAAAACATACATAAACAATACCAAAGTACTACATAATAAACAAAGTGTTCACTACTTTTTACCTCTCGTGGATGCTTTTGAAGTCATTCACAGCATTCTTCAAGACAGGTGGAGGGCGTGGCCATTTGACATTCTTTCCAAAATCTTTTGCTTGTTTCACATTTCTAACAAAAGTGAAAGAACTGGTTATGTCAGTTTAATGTATAAACAAATACACAAATTATCAGAACTGGTTACAGCACTTTACTATATAAACAGTGCACAAATTATCACAACTGGTTAAGCTACTTTAGTGTATAATTAAAAGCATACTTATCGAAATTAACCATTTCAATTTCTTTTTCATGCTTGCTCTGGACCTAGATGTCATAAATCAATTCTCTAAACCTACTCCACATTTTTACTGATACAGTCACTTGCTGATAGCCATTTGATTTTACAACAGAAAGCTTGATTGATTAAAAAAAATTCACGTACTACTTATTTTAATCAACAACTTGTGTCTATACACTCATCTTCTACTAAAAAAAATCAACCTTGCTATTGAATTTTTACATTTGTGATTTGTTACTTTTCTATTCAGTAGACTAAGTAACAAACATCACTTTATGATAAACAGTAACAAGTTTACCTTTAATGACTCAAACTAGAACAATAGAAAGTATTAATAAACTGAGCTTTCTTTCTTTAGAGAAAGATCAGGAACACTAGAATAGTCTGAAAACTCTATGCCCGACATTCCTAGTTAAAAACACATTTCTTCAGTTTCAGTTTTCTTACCTAATATCATCTATCATTTTGTATTACAACGAGCTTCATGGAAACAAGTAATGAAGCAACAGTTTTACTGATAATGAAATGTGAAGTAATCAACTTCATGACAAGGACTAAAAAAAATTTTCATAGTAACAAGAAATGACATTGCCATCCCCATAGTAGCAAGAAATCGAGTGATGAACTTTGTGGTAACAAGAATTGGTTTTACTCTATTTGCGATAATGTTTATGATTTAAAATAATTTTATAAATAATGTATTAATTTATCCAAGAAGTCTGCCTCAAATATGCTTTTGAAACTTTTTTTTTAACTGTACCTACATTGAGTGAGAAGTTCATAAAAAACAGACACCATGTTAAAACTATCAAAGACACAGGCTTCGAACTACACTAAAAATGAATTTAACTTACTTGAAAGCCTGTAGAAGCTGAATAATATAGGAACGCATCTTGTATTTTCGATAGCGTGCCATGATTATTAAAGCAGCTCTCATTTTTCTATACTTCAGTCTTGCAATGGCTCCCCGCCACATCTATTATACAGAAAATAACAAGAAACCATAAATAGCATTCACCTGACGTAAAGGAAAACATAAATTCTGAAAGTACACCTAGATATAAATTACACTACATACAAAACTGAAATAAATAAATGTCTGTCTGCTTGAGGTCTATAAATGTTATAACACGATGGGTAGCCTAAAAGACAATAGGTAAGAGTAAAGACTTCATCTTTCAAAAGTGAGGTGATAATGAATGCCCATTCTTTGGTCTATTGTTAAAACATATGCAAAGAGTCCATAAACTGCAAATTGCAAAAATTTGTGATAAAAGTCGTGATGAGTTCTGGTCTTGATGAAAGGCTACTTGGGCAGCAACATTTGTGAAAAGAAAAATCTGAAATTTTATTTTCACGTCTCTGATTTTAAATCTAAAAGAGACAAATTAAGAGGAATGTGAAAAAAAAAAGCACCAGCAGTTTACGTGATTTAAGCTTATATCTTAATATTGTTTATAGCCGTGTTGCTGCACTTCCATTCTGATAGGCAAGTTATCTTTCAAGATATTAATGTAATAATCTATAGAGTTCATGTTATCTGAAAATTATTGATGAACATAACAGTGACTTCAATTATCTTTTTTTTGTGAACCAGATGCAGACCAAATTCCTTGAGAAACAGAATACATAATAATTAAAAAAAATACCTTCCTGGCATTTTAAGAAGCTTGTGACACACCATTTGCAAACTAACATGATGGGAAAAGAAGGTCCAATCAGCCTTATATTATATTAAGTTCTTAATAAAGTAGACAGTCTTTGAGTATAACAGCAGTAATGTTTTGACTATAATGCACCTTGCATATACATTTTTTTGTACTTGAAAAATAATATAACATCAAAATGTTTTGGTTATATAACCTCACAAACACATACGTAAAAGCCATAACAGATAGTGTGTTTTGATATTATTATGCATTTATAAAGTGAAGAGAGAAAAAAAAATCATATTAATCGTCACTTAATACTGGATTTATGTTACCATTCAATAAACATATTTTGATAACAGCATGGAGTCAAAATAGGGATTTGTAGTTTGAGTAAATAATGTCTACAGTATCTCCAGCCTTGTTTTTGTTTTTTTTAATGGAACCTATTTGCAGGTTTTTAAATTCCCAATTTTTTATTTATTTTGTTTGCTGGCTTTTTTTGCTCAACTATGGGCAAAGAATTACTTGATATGGTAGCTAAGTATATACATTGAAATGATAATAAACATAGCTAGTGGCTATTTGATCACATTGGTTTGAGATGTAAAATGTTAAGCTGCAGCTGGAATTGTCATGGAGATTTGTTTGTTTGAGAATATAGTGAACATTTATATTTTCTGTGTAACTAACTTCTCTATATATAATGCATAGCAATGGGCAAATATATGCCTGGACTAAGACACAACCCCCACTAAGTATATATAAATTTTCTATCAGTAGAAAAGCAGCCTTTTCAAATAAAAGATATGCATTTAAAGCACCACTTTAAATAAACCTTCATGTCTTTTACAGTAATTATTCTACAAATGTGTGTTTTACTCCTACACTTAATACACAATATAGGGGTTGGCTCCCTAGTGTACAAAGCATTGAGTATCTACATGTTACAGTAATATAATGTTCATATATTACTGGCTGGTAATTCCTGTTTCACCCTGTACCACCAACTCTATAGTGTACAAAGCATTGAGTATCTATGTTACAGTAATCTAATGTTCATCTGTTACTGGCTGTTAATTCTTGTTTCACCTGGTACTCAACCTTTTAAAAGGAACACCAGATATTTGTCAGAAGACTAACTTCAAGGGGTAATGATAACGTTGTTTACACTAGAATTATGAGGTTTTTTTAGCTTTTGTAAAATATAGAAGAAACAAATTGCTTTTTCAATACCCCTATGACCTTTGCAGTGCTTATTTAGTATTCTGCAAACGGTTTAGGTGCAATATACCAAGGCGTTTTTGTTGTAGGCTGACAAGAGAATAATAATAAAATTTACAAATGGGACATTTTGAGTGGATTTTCATTTTCTTGTAAGTGTAACATGCATGCTTTTTGTGTGCATTTATATGTGTGTATGGCCTTAGCAGTCAATAGAAAAGGTTTTAAAGTGTTGTTTGAACTGAATCTTTACTGTTTAAGGTACTTTTTGCACAAACTTTCTATTGGGCTTTTTATGCAATTCTTTGTGATCCCTAATATGAACCATTATCGTGGTTCATGATATTAGGACACAGAAGATATGGTTACAGGTATGCAAATTATCAGAAACCTTTAAAATTAAAAACCAATAATAATTACACAGGCCTGCAATGGTTTTATAGTCTTGAAATTTTTGAATGTTCTACAGTAATTCCTGTACACTGAATCCGAAAATGATATTCATTTTTCTCCATCACATACAGATTTTTCACAAAAATGTCATAAAGCAATACATAGAAGAAAGACCACAATACATAGTTTTGAGACTAAAACATGTAGATTTCATTAAAAAAAAAATCAGGATGAATTATGCGTAGCTGAATTATGGAAAATCTGTTATTAAAACCAAAACAACTTTTATGAAGTTTATATTTGCAGGTCTGTGTTATCAGGTGATTTTCTAATCAAATCTGTAATTTGATTACTGAATCACAATAGTGAAAATGAGAGATGTTGTTGTAATTATATAATTTATCACATCACTATATTTATATTGACTCTGCCTGGGAACAATAATCCTCATAGCCATTTTATTATTGAACAGATCAGCACGATGATAATTACCTTTTGGAGGAGGAGAACTAAAGTTGGAATCATTTCAGCTCGCAGTTCTTCCAGTTTGGAAATTGTCTGAGGTGATCGGATGAAAACCTTTGTCTTCCCATACTTGACGTCATCTGAGAAGCCTAACTCTTGAATTAACACACGACACCCATCCTTATCAGGTCCATGATAATTAGGCCAAGTGAGTTTTGATGCCATTTTGTACCTAGTAAGCCATAACAACAACAACAAAATTAATAGAAGACCTTTCCATCCCCATGTACAGCATTCTCTGGACAGAATTTTATCCTCTGGTTTTGTGACGAAGTTCAAGATCAATGTAACAGAGCATCTTTTTTATACAACATCTTTAACCACTTTACATGTACCCTTTTGTACAACACTTTTACCATAAGTATTTACTAACTGAAACATTAGTTTAAATGGCTGGTTACAGAGCATACCAGCATACATTTTCGCAAGCAGTTGTTCATAGTTCTGAAAAGTTAAGAATCTTAAAATGAAAAAAAAAGTAGGGGGTTTAAGAAATGTATATAACACATGGAATGTTTTTCTATGGACTTCTGCCTCTTTTGGTGATACGAAAGTGGCTTAGAATTTTTTTTTATTTGTGTGTATTTTTAATTGAACACATTATCTTCATCAGCTTAAAATATTTCACTAGTGTTTAAAATTACAAACTGTTATTATATATTTTTAATGCATATTTATAACAACTTCTTATTAAATACGTTCTCGTTCAACAGGCATTATACTGTCTAGTAAAAAGTAAATTTTTTTAGTCTGGAAAAGAAATAATTGCAGAGCCGTACGTACAAGCCACAGGAATTTCCTACCTCTGAAGGAATCTAGGATATGTCTGCCTATATGCAAAGCCAGCTCTCCTTACTCGAACATTTTCGATCAAGCCAAGATAACAGACTTGATGGCGTACCCTCTCATCATTAAACAACAAAGGGGATTTCTTCTCATTTGGTTTGATGCAACGTATATAATACGGTTCCTAGACAATAGTGAAAAACATATGTACCTCTTGATTTTAATGACTACTTGTATTTTGTTTATTCTTACATAACCTCAATATTGACCCTTTGGGCTTTCCATATTTATTGGAAATAAGTTAAAGTTCAAACAAGTTGCATTATAATAAAAATCCAATACAGAAATTTTAATAATAACTTAATCACTATACATGAGATTGTATCAGGTAATGTAATAGTTATACCAAAAATATAAGATGTGATAACTAGTCAAAATTATCAATGTTCAGTGATAACTTATGTGAACTTTATGATATTTACAGACTTTACATTCACAAAATGCTTTTAGTCAAATGGTAGACTTGTATATATCTGCAAGAGATTAATTTTAACAAACTGTTCTCTATCATGCACGCTACATTTCTTTACTTATTGCTTCCATTGTTGTTTCTGTAAAATGTCCGATGGACATACTTAGAGAAGACAGTTGTTTTTGTTAAATCTCTGGCACGTACACACTTACAGTAGCTAATTAATTACACGATTTACTGTTGAAAGCCTAACGTGTATTGTTATTTAGATGGTATTCTCTAACAAGTGTCAGACTTGTGTAAGTTATAAGCTTATTGCTCATGACGTCTACCGTGTCAAATAGAAAAAGAAAAATGCATATTACTCATTTAAGAAATATGTTAATATTCCGATCTCATCTAAAAGTTTCTCTTGACAGTTCATCTCTTTTTTTCTTCTCATTTTATCTATCCTGCACATTCCAATAAATTTCAAAAAATGTAGATAAAAAAACTTCTTATCCTTTTACATTTTACCTCAAGTATAAAAAGTATATCTTCTAACTGCTTTAATATCAATAATTCTTCTGACGTAGTATGTTCACTTAAACAAAGCACAGAAGAATGGGTTTTATAGCCAAGATAACTAAACAGAATTTCTTTTTTACTTTGGATGTAGCCAAGAAAAAAAAAGAGAAAAATTCTTACCTTCTGAGACAAATTCTGCACAAGTGCTATCATGGAATTCTTGAAAAGTGTACCAGCAGTCAGTGGTCTTTTTGTAACCTAACAATAAATGTACAAGTTAATATAAATGGTAATGTGGAAAAAAAAACAGCTGGTTAATTAAACATCAGGATGTACTTTAAAGACATTACAGAGAAAACAAATTGTAAGATTTTTTTGTAAAAATCTACTTATCAATCTAAACAACAGAACAAAAACCACAATGTGTCAAGAACAGAAAGGTGATAAGCTGAAAATAAAGGAAACAGTGTCTCCCTTTTGAGCTACATAAATTTAAAAACATTTTAACATCTTATTGTTTTTTTTAATTTCCAAAATGTAAGATTATGACTTATTCACTAATTAACTAACTTATATATGTACATAATCATTGCATAGAGTTTTTAAAATAAGGTTTTTACTGTTGCACCCTGGCCAGCCTAATCAGGTACAATATTAAGCAAAATTTTTTTAAATCTTTACAAAGTAGTTAAATTGGAATTTTTAAATTTTAAAGTACTATATTAAGTTATATTGGGATATTTCATGAGAGTTTAAACCCTAAAAGATTATTACATATTCATGTGCATTTATTATTACTATTATTCTTTACATCTAAAGTCAACAGTGTAGAAATAAAAAAAACACCTGAGTCACATGCTGGGCTCCCTCGGGCCACATTGATTTAATCAGTAGGTCAGTGCTGAAAAAAAGAAAACAAAAAAAACTTTTCATCCAATGTTTAATTGATACGTTTGTACTACAAGGAGATTAAAATGTCTGTACTCAGTATTCGACAGTAATGCAAAGAAAAACAGAGCTTGTACCAAGTTGGTACTGCAAAGAAGAATGTTTGTTTTGGAAATTCATGCAAAGCTAGCAAACACTATACACAAAAGCTAACCACGCCAGCCATTCCTGGTTTTGAATTAATAAGAATAGAGGGAAGGAAGCTAGTCAAGAGCACCCATCACCAACTTTTGTCCAACCAAGTAGTGGGATTCCAATGCTACTTTTAAAACACATCCACGATCCCATGGATTCACAGTTTAGCATACTATCTCCTGGGCCACACCCAACTCGAAAGAATAAAGAAAGCTTTATTTAGTAATTGCTCACTAAATTAGTACTACACACACACACAAAATCATAATAATGAATGCATGTTGAATCACTCAGTCAAGAAAATATCTACTAAAACATTATAAGATAAAACATTAATTAAATAAAACTTGTATAATTCTTATATATTGGCATCCCAGATATTCACAAAACATTCACTAAATTTACTGTTTGGTTTTATTGAATGTGGTACCATTACTTTGGCACATTAGAGTATTAAAACTCTGGAAGTAGACACTTAACCCTACCATAACCATGTATGTTGCATAAAAATATCAGGTATTTGTAAATATGTTACCTTTCTTTAGTTATCAGCTTTGCAAAATTTCCTATAAAATTATCCATACAAGACTATACAATAACCCAATTTACTTAATCTTTCAGTAAACACACATCCATATTCAGAAATGTACGTCAACTTGGTCAACTAAATTAGTATCATCCTCTAAAACAAAAGGTTATAAAAGAAAAAATATGAATAGGCATAAAACTACTAAAAAATATGACAATAAATATTACTTAAACAACAACATATTATGACATAAAAAAATAAGACCATATTTAGGTGTAAATAAACATCCTAATCAATTTTCAATTGTTTGATGTTAATTAGCAAATAATTTTACATTTACTTTGGATATAACTTTTAAACAAGTTAAATAACTTAACTGAGAAAGAAAAATCACCTGCTATACAGAAGCCTTTTGAAGTCTTGGAACAGTGTATCTTTATTTTTGTCTAAGAAGCCAAGAATTGAGTATTTCACATCTCCAGCATAGTGGTGAATACGGAAGTCTTTGGCATGGTCCATTGATTTATCTGTTGGGGCCAACTTTTGAGAAACAACAGTAAAGTTATAATACTATTCCAATCATCAAACTGATGTATAAAGTCTTTCAGTCCAATAACAGAAATCATTTTAAATGATTAACATAGTTAACCACGTGACACATCTCACGTCACTTCCATCTATTCTATCTTGTAAGTTTTATACAGGTACGGTAGTAATCCCACTTTATCGATTACAAAGTTAAGAAAAAAATATATATAAATATTAAATTATCCACTCTTATTACCTAAATTAGATGAAACACAGTGAAAACCTAGAATGAAAACTGTTTAAGATAGACAAAGATAATTTGCTGTGATTCATCAGCACAGACATCTTAGTTCAGTATCACAGACACCCAGTCAAAGAGCAATGATCTAGGACAAATCTACCAGGTATACAAAAAGCTACAACTCAAACTGTCCAATAGAAAAAAAGAGTAATTGCGATAACAATAATAAATTGAAACTAATAGTGACAAGAGGTTTTTATAAAAGCATATTTGCAGTTATTGTCAGTATTATCATATTGCTACCTTAATTTTTTCAAGTTACACATACTTTTTTACCACCTAACTTTGTGACAAAATCTAATGAAGTTGAAGTACTTAATAACCAAGTCAATTCCAAAACAATAAGTTCATAGTTTAAATACATATAGTAATTTTCACCTACCTTTCTACTAGTGTAGTGTTTGTGACTGCCGAGTTTCTTGTCAAACTCTTCTAGAAGCATCTATCCAAAATAAAATCATTAGAACTGTGAAATTCTGAAATATCAGTAATACTTTATGAACTAGTATTTAAAAAAAATCCTGTTACAGCACATACCAGATCTACAGTAAATCTAGGTGCAAAGTCACTTAAAACTTCATATTGTATCTTAATATTTATACAAAACTTCAGACAGATTTCTTCCATATTTTAATATAAATCATATATTATTAGTATAGTAATTAGTATACTTTTATGTTAATAATATATATAAAATAGTATAATATTACTGGGTAAAACTCTATTGGTTGTGTACAGAACTTTTCTCTACATTTACATCAAGACCAGGGGCTCACGGGTAAAAAATGTATTAAAACTGTAAAAGGAAGTGAAATATGTGCATGTGGTAAACATTAAAAAAAAAAAATAAGAAGGTTAAGTCAAACTCAGAAGTTAGGTGATATGATCGCATCTTTATTTTCATTTCCTGTGATGACATATCTACACACACAAACCAACAATAACAAAGCTTCAAAGTTCGCTATAGTTATACTGTGTCAGTTCCCAACTGTATGCTTTAGCGCACACTTACCGATACTCTTAAAATCTTAAACATTGGTAACTATTAAGCTTAGTTTAACTTTAAGTGCAACTAATGGCAGACATTTCTTTATACTATAAATTCCATCATATCATTAAACAGACCTAAAATTAGACTTACAAATGCTAGCTAGTCAAACTTTTTTCTAACTTAACATAGAGGACTGAGAAAGCAAAAAAAAATGGAGAAAACAAGTTACTAAAACTTAAAACATCTGAAAAAAACAAACTGAGATTACAAAGAGATATTAGATGAGACAACATCATGATACATGTTGGGACTTTAGCCTAAATAAAAGTTCAAATAAATTTTCCTAGTAATAACTTATTTACAAAACCACCAACTAGGATTAGAAGAAGAAAATAGAGCTTTGAAAGGTGTTTGTAGTAGAAGATTTACAGAGATGTTGAAAGCTGTTAGAGAATTTCCTTGATAATCTACAAAGGAAAGTCTTGTTCTTTTTTTCTGGTATAATACATTCCCTTCTCAGCATGATCTAGTCCATTGTCCTATGACAGATCCACTTCTCAGCATGACCTAGTTCATTATCCTATGATAGATCCATCTCTCAGCACGATCTAGTGCATTATCCTATGATAAATCCATCTCTCAGCACGATCTAGTGCATTATATGATGAAATCTATCTCGCAGCACGATATAGTGCATTATACGATGACAGATCCATCTCTCAGCATGATATAGTGCATTATCCTATGATAGATCTATCTCGCAGCACGATCTAGTGCATTATACGATAACAACTCTATCTCTCAGCACAATATAGTGCATTATACGATGGCCATTTTAAATTCTTAGGATGCCATTTCTTTCTTTTGAATCAAGGGGTAGGGTGTCATTAGTCTACTCGAAATTTCATATTTCTTAGACTAAAATACAGCTTAGTTACTACGTTTGATAAATTATATTAGAATTCTATGGTATCAATGTATTAATTTATGATTTTTTAGTTATTCAAATGTATATATAAAACCTAAAAAAATTTATTTTGTTTCCTATCCTCTATGTGCAAGATTCTTAAAGGTTTAGCAACCTATGTCAAGCAGCAACCGAGTACAAAGGTCGTAACTAGAAGAGATAATTGCTTTACTTCTTTATTTGCTGTTCTATGTTTTAAGAAAAATAAGTTTAAGAACTTATTTCTGAATAGCAATAACCTATATACATACATAATGTATAATAATTGAAATGTGACTGTATTTTACAAAGTACTAGTCTACTAAAACACAGCCAAGACAGGTTACTTTGTAAAGATCAAAGGTCAGTTTTACGTAATTGGATACAGTAACATGAGTGTATGTGTAC